GTCCGGTACGGGGGCAACACTGAGGGTTGCGATCCGTTGCCGGACACGGAAAAAGACAAAAGACAAAAAAAAAGAAAAATATTTTAGTAAAACAACCCATATGTGACTTTAAAAAAAGAGAATGGAGGATTGTGCATGTATCCATCCATCAGTTTAAAAGGCAGCTTTTGTCTGATGACATGCAGTGTTCATCCTTAGAAGGTACTTTTGGAGGGAGACAGTTATTATGATCCTAATTGGAGCAGAGCAGGGAACTCCTTGCATTCAGTATTCTCCCAGCACAGCTTTGGTGCACACTTCAAGGCTGACTGATCTGTAGAAAATTTCCTAAGAGACTCATTTAGTCATTTACTGAGTCAGCTCTGGGAATTGTCTATACCTTTGTAGAGTCAGTATTTGGCACGTTTGGAGACAGTAAGGTTTTTAAAACCTGCCTGTTCACTGTATGTTTACGCTCAAGGCACTACCACATTGCTGCTAGTGTTGGTTGGGCTGCCTTTAACTTACATCAGGTAATGCTTTGGTTTTTGTCACTGCCCTACCCCTGCCCACTATATTTGTGTACCAATGCTTATTACTTTGGAACTATGACTACCATCAGGTGAAGCCAGAAGTTGATCTTAGCATTTCCATACCTGTCCTTGAGACACTTGCCAGCTCTGCAGAGGTATCAGGACCTCCTCCCAGGGAAGGGCAAGCATTGATACTCATTTTAAATCTAAAGTTATTAAGGAAATTGAGGGAAATTCAGGTGTGATTTTTTTTTTTTAATTTAGTCACTAGTTCTAGGTAAAGAAATGTGGAAATATAATCTAAATGTTTGAAAAGCTTTTCTTTCACTTTTAATTTAAAATTTGAATCTAAAAAGCTCCAAAGGCAAGGTAGCTATTTCTTAAATTAAACCAACTGTAGAAATGGAGTCCATCATATTAATCCACGTTTAATACTGTACTTGAACATCTGGCCTGCAGCCAGATTTTAGATTGAATTCTCTTTAATACTCCTATCCAATCTCAAGTGGTGTAGCCTCAACCAGAAAAGGGAAAAATTTAAAATAGTGGTGAGGAAAGGTCAATAAAATTGTGCATACATGCCATAAATCGAACTTTAAACTCAGAGTAGCACTCAGTAAATGTTAAAGAATAAAAACTGATAGTAGTGGAAATGTGGAATTAGGAAAAAGACATCTTTGTGTTTACCTCTAGATACATGGCTAATTTGGTTTTGGAAAGAAAATTTTGATATAATATATTTTTGTTCTGGAGAATTAGAGGTATATTTTCGGCTTATTGATATGGAATAAAAATAAAGTCATTTTAGGTCATATGCATGGATACATCATTATTTTAAATATATTTTCTTTAATTCTCCTTGATAACAATTAGAGAACATAAAATATTGATTCAAATCTGTTTTTTAGAAGAGCTTAGATAAGCCTCTTCTTCCTCCCCCTCCCCTAATAAAGGTGGGGTGCTATTAGACAAATTTAGACGATTGGAACATCTGTTTTTTACTTGGAGAAACTTTCTTGTCTGCTGCCTCATTTATCAGGGACATAAAATGACATAAGAATAAATTGTAATAGTCTTTTTAGCAACATCTAAACGGATCGAATAGTATGAGACTTGTTTAATAACATTCTAGTATGATGCAGTTTCCACATACTTTAAATAGTATTGATGTGGTATCAGAGACTGTTCAGCCTAACTTCCTCCCAACTTCAAGGGCCGCTGCTGAGCACATTTTTCCTACGTGAGCATGTGTAGAAAGCTTTCTAAAATCAGGTTTATACACAAAGAAGTTTCTTTCTTGTCTGCGTCAGCTTTCCACAGTCATTTCCAGTAGTTTTCAAATGGAACATTTGGAAATGTATCCCAGTGACTTACGGGTGTGGGGAGGTCCGGATATGTATGCTAAACAGCATGCGATGTGGGGAACTGTCTGGCACAGTGAAGAATTGTCCAAGCCCCAAATGCCAGTAAGTGTTCTTTGTCTCCCTTCTTCCCCCTCACACTGAACAAAATCACACTGAACAAAATCACCAAAGCAGGATCCTCTCCTTCCCAAATTTTCTGCTCACCTTGACATTTGCCACTTCCAAGTAGTGGAGGAGTAATTTTTCTATGACTTTTCTTCTGGACTCTCCGGTTCCTGTTTTTCTGCATTATTGTCAGATAGGCAGCTAACAACTGGGCATGTTTATGATTAACCTTTCACCACTACAGCCCACACTGAGCAGAATGTGTCTGGGAGAAGTAGCAATGATGCTAACTGCCCTTTTATTCAAGTTGTGTAATTTCCAGAAGTGAATGAGCTCTGGCAGGTGGGTTTCTCAGCTAGCAGGTGATTGCCTGTTACTTCTTCATGGGTCATATTTGCTCTCCAGAAGAAAGATTTAAATTCATTTGAGGTCAGGAGGTAGTAGGGATTGCTTTCAGTTTGTTCATGCTCATGGGATGCTATCAATAATACTTTGCTTTTGGGGTAATAAGACATTTGTTTTTAAAAATAAGACATTTTTCTCAGTTTACTGAAATGGACTTGGTAAATGTTGTCTTGCTAACATTAAGTAAACATTCTGGATGCAGCTTTCTGAGAGGATTCTCTTGTGTCTTTTCATTTGTCCATTGATTAAGAAACTGCCATGTACCGTGGAAACTTTCCTTGAATCATTCAAGTTTAATAGTTAATTTTCCTCCCTGACACTTACCATTTCCAAACATTGTGACTTTTGCCAGCAGCTGCTACTGTTTAAAAGTGAAAGGGGCTGACTTGAAAATTTGAGAATTATGTGGATTGTCATCTATTAGGAATAAGTAGAAAGAGAGGTGCAGAAGTTAGCCACTTTCATCCTTTCCAGTGCTAAGTGTTCATGGTTCTTTAGGTAGGTAGATGAGCCTCATTCTTACCAGATGCATTTCTTCTTTTATGACCTGGGTGCAAAAGAAAAGATGACTAAATGGAAATAAATTAATTAATTTAAAAAAAACAAAAACTTTTCATAGCAAAAGAAACTATAAGCAAATACAAATAATAACCTGGGAGAAAGTCATTAACAGACTGTCTATAGGGGAAAAAAGAATCAAATGGCCCTTAAACATATGAAAAATGCTCAACTTTATTCATAATAAAAAAATACAAATTAAAACTTACCTATCAAATTAACAATAATTCAAAAGCTTACAAACATACTCTGTTGGCAAGGCTGTGAGGAAGCAAGCACTCTCATCTGTTACCCATGGTGCAATCCCTATATGAGGGAATTTGGCAATATCTAACAGAGCTATGTGTGCATTTACCTTCTTACCAAGCAGTCCCACTGCTAAGAATTTACTTTAAGATGTTCATCCATACCTGTGGCCAAAATGTATGCAAAGTTATTCAGAGCAACATTTTGGAAACAGCCTAACTTCTTATCAATAGGAGACTGGTTGAGTAAATTTGGGAACACCTGCACAATGGAATAATCTATGCAGCCATAAAACAGAATGAAGAATATCTCTATGAACTGATACAGAGTGATATCTAGGATATGTTTAAGTGAAAAATGCAAGTGTAAAAGTTTGCTTATTTTCAAAAAGAAACTCAAAGAATAATCTGTATACCAATGAAAATAGTTACCAATAGATAGGAAGATGGAGAGTATGGGGATAGACGTGAAATATCTCTGAATATATCTTTATTACATAGTTTTATCTTTTGAAACATTTATAAGTATTACATATTTTAAAAATACAGTGAAAACATGGATGAAAGAAAAAGCAAACCCTAAAATTGAATGCAAGAAACAGTTGAATCTAACTGTATAACAAATTGGTAGCATAACCACACCAACACCAAAATAGTTCAAATAACTGAAACATGTAGCCCTCACTCTCTGTATACCTTTAGGGGTTGGACAAAGAGTTGCAAAGGAATTTTGAGCTGACCCTGAGTAGTTGAGGGTGGCACTAGTAATTCTGAAACTGTTTTGTGCGTGTTATAGGCTGGAACAAATTAATAACTTAATTGCAGTTTGGGGGAACCAGAGTCACTGCTGAGAGAAAAGAGAGATAACAGATGTGGAGAGGGGGTAATGAGGAAGAGTACTCCAGGAGTGGATTTGAATTGGTAAGAATTCATGACTTTTTAGAAATATATATTTTCTGACTGCCCACTGAAAGGGCCTACAACTCAATGGTGCCAGAACTCAAGGAAAGAATTTGAAAACCAAGGAGGATTTGGCATAAAGAGACAGACACCGGTTTTGAGGAGTTTCTGCCACGTCAAGGGCTGTTTGAGCATCACAAAGAATAATGGTGGTACTGACATACGTGTTAATACCAAAAAATTTCATTCCATAGTAATGCAGGTTGAGCATCCCAAATCCGAAACTTTTTCAGCACTGACATGACACTCAAAGGGAATGGTCATTGGAGCATTTTGGATTTTGGATTTTCAGATTTGGGATGTTCAACTGGTAAGTGTGATGGAAATACTGCAAAACCAAAAAAGATTTTTTTGAAATTCAAGCCACTTCTGGTCCCAAGCATTTTGGATAAGGGATGCTCAACCTGTATTCAAAGAGAGAGAGAAAAGGGGGAATGGGCAAGAAGTTTGAGTGTACCGAAGAATAATAGAATTAGAAAATCACCAATTTGTAACCCCTAAAGGAACAATTGATTTAAGCAGGGATCATTAGCGGATGTCAAGTCACTGGGTAAAAGGATGTTTAAGAATAGGAAATTCAGTCTGACAGTCTCTCCCCCACGTGTTACATACTAATTATAAAGAGGAAAAAGTACCCTGACGAGAAAGAGCTCTTGTGGGTTCCCCCTTAACTAGATGATCAAATTTAGTGTTTCTCATAACCAGACCAAATAACATGCTCCTTCTGATGTGGTGCAATGCACAGCATCCCGTGTATGGTTTCTGCCAAAAGTGTTTGTTTAACATGAATCTGATTCTCAGAAAACAGACAAATCAGAATGTAGGACATTTTCCACAACAGCTGACCAGGACTCTTCAAAAATGGAAATGTTGTGTAAGACCAAAAACAAAAAAGTGGGAGGACTGTTCTAGATGAGAGGAGACTAAAGAGACATGACAGTGCAATACAGGAGTCTTGACTAGACCCTAGATTCTTGAGAAGAATACAGCTTCCAGGATGTTTGGGGAGTAACAGAGAACTGTGGAATATGGACTGCATTGTAAGGAATATATATTATTGAATCAATATTAAAATTTGGGGGTATAGAAAAAAGTAGTATTAGAAACATTTCTGACACCTCCTGACTTTTAAATTGAAAAGTCCACAAAAAAAATTTTATCTATGATTTAATTTTTGTTTACAGAGAATGGAGTTTTCTAAAGCAGAGCTGTCCAATAGAAATATGTAAGCCACATATGTAAGTGTAAATTTTGTAGTACCCGCATTTAAAAAAGTGAAGAGAAACATGAAATTGATTTTCAAAAAATTTTATTTAAGCCAATATATCCACAATTCTATTACTTCAACATATAATCAGTATTAAAAATTACTAATGAGATATTTTGCATTTTTCAGTCTTCAAAAGCCAGTGGATATTTTACACTTACTGTAAAATAAATTGAATTGTCTTCTCAATTCAGGTCACATTTTCAGCAGAAATTCTTGAGCTGTATTTAGATTTTATAAAATTTTCAGTTGTAAAAGTAGTCATGTATCCAAGTTATTCCAAACATACTTAAAAGTAATCCAGTGACTGAATCAAATACCAGCTTTTTTTTATTGAAATTAAATAAGATAAACATTAATTTTTTTCATTGTACTAACCATATTTCAAGTGCTTAGTAGCCACCCATTTATGACTAGTGGCTCTCGTATTAGCAGTTTGAAGTCTACATAGGTAACTTAGGTAAGGCAACACCATTATAAATTCATAATTTTACATAATTGTATCTATTCAAGGGAACCATGGGAGAAAGGCTCTGCAGGTTGCTGGAGGTGTAGCAACCTGAGTTTATAAAAGTCAGTGGACCCCCCACAGAACCAGATCTAGGGTTGGGGGTCTGATGGAGTGTAGGGTAGTCAGAGAATAGCTGCTGGGTGTTGGAGCCTTTAGGTCTTCCGTTACTTTGCACTGAAACATGAAAAATAGGCAAATCTTGTTTGTTAGTGTTCTAAGTAAGCCAGCTGCTGGACATGGGGGATGCTAGGACCCAGAGTCTAGGAAGACAGCCCCTTAGTTCAAGGCTACCTTCATAAGTGAGACCTGGGAATGCCGATGATCAGAAATGGCCTGATCCTTTTGGTGTCAAGCTCAAGATTGATGGGTCATGTTAGTTTAATAGTCTCAGAAAAGCAAAGACATTGCATGGTGTGAGAGATACAGGTAAATAGAATTATTTTTAATATTTTAAAATAATGGACTTTATTGATATCTGTTGAGTCATTGCATTGAATCTTTTTTCAAGTAAACCAGAGTTTTGTACCATATAGGATGCTTAAATTTAAAAAGGGAGAAGAAGAATTTATTAATCAGATTTGAATTCAGTGAATCTCTCCACTCTTAGCCTTTGTTTCTGAAGTAGTGACAACATTGAATACACTCTCTGAATTGCATCGGACTTATATATTGTTCTCTGCTGACTTCTCTGTAAACAGTCTATAGCTGAAGCTTCATTGTAGTTATAAAACTTTATTTTATTAAAAAAAAGTTGTTTTTTTTTTTTTATGTCTAGAGCCTGTGTGGTGCCCATATCTCCTTGTTCCAAGGGCCTCTCTGGCCTTGAAAGCCTTTTTACTGCACCAGCCTTGGAATGGACGATATTCTTTGGATATTTCTCATGTGTAAGTTTTTCCATTTTTGTCTTCCTTTCATAATTTACTTGGGATTGAAGGACACCCATGAAAATTAGCTGTAGCCTCTACTCCAGGGCTTAAAAGAAATGGAGCCTTATAACCAAGCCAAGAAAAGGCAGAGTCACTAAAAGAATCACCAGTCTGCCTCTTGATTCCACCTCTGGAGCCTTTGTGGCAGTGTGGGGCAGTGAGTAGCTATGAGTGCTTGCGTTGCTCTCAGGCAGCTGTGTGGTCGTCCTAGGTCTGGACAGGGTCATGTGGTGATGGGGAGAATGAAGGGTGTGAGGAGGGCCAATTGAGGCCAAGGGCATTTGGAGGCCAGGCCTAGTTCTTTTTAAAAGCAGCATCAATGGGCCTGCTTCAGAGGGATATTATGTGTATAGATCTCAGTGTCTGCCTCATTGCAAAAAATATTCACATAAACTGTTATTCGTGGTTATTAATTAAAACCACAAGTGTTACTGAACTTAGGCCATGTGGAGCACATAGGTGGACCTGGGATGGGAGATTTTTAAAAAATGCCAGAAGATATCTGTTGTCTAAGAACTGCAGCATCTACTTAGAGAAACAAATGTCCGTTCTGCATAGCAGGATGAGCAAATTCCTTTAGTCACTGCCAAGTTCTTTATTAGAAGAAATCTAAACCTGACAGTTTTTAGAGCCCCCTAGTAAATTTTCTAGTTACTTGAAAGCCAGGCACTTTCTTCACTCATTTCTTTGTTTTGACTCAGTAAGATAAAAGCAGACATTAACGATGATTGGTGGGGTCCTGAGTGGATTTTGCTGTTTTGGTCCATAACCAGGTGTTTAACCAAGCACTACAAAGAGTTTATTTCTAATCAACATAATATTTTTCTGGTGAAGAAATACGTGGTTGTGAGTGAAGAGATAATGAACTCATTCAAAATCTTTTCTGTACAGTGATTATCCAGAAAATGAAGAAATAAAGAATCTCCTTCAAGAGCAGTTGAATTCATTGTCTAAGTAAGCACTTTGTGTTTTATTAGAAGATAACAGTGTAAGAAAGAGAAACTTAATAAATTCAGCTTTTTAAAATTAAAATACATTATGTTTATAGTATTAGTGGTCCAAGGAGAGACTGTTCTGTTCACATGGGTTTGTTTCTCTTTAGAATCTTTGTCTTGTAGAAAAAGTACTAATTTAATAGTTATAATAACAGAGCATCTATCTTCCAAGTTCATAAGGATCAGACTGCTCTGGTCTCATGTTAGGGAAGGACTAGAAG